ACCCTAAACCCTAAACTCTTTAGGGTCTCTTCCCGAGGATTCTTTGCGGGAGATTTAAGAGTTCCATTGAGTACCATCATATTCCGGAAAGTAAACTTGAACACTCCGAGCCCGCAAACCGGAATTTTGCATCCTGAACCCCAAAATCCGGTGTTCCTAAACCAAACCCGGAATCCGAACCTGAAAACGTCCCTTTAGACTTTCATCCATCCAAACGTCATCCGGGCCTCTCAAGATTGCTTCTAACTGCTCCCCCCCCCCCGCAAGTGCCTGGAAAACTGAAACCTATTACCTTAGGCTCGAGATGCCCCTAACCTCTATACTCCATTCTACAAGTTTTGTACTGCCCTTCCAGAAAGCCGATCAGAAACCCTGTGAAATAAAGTGAAGCTAAAAACTGGCATGAGAAACCCGAAATGAACCTCGAGGCCTGAATCTTAAGGGCTTTGATTGCAGTGCAGGGGGGGTCTGAAGGTTTTCGGTTCGGTGTTCAGACTTTAGGGTCTAGGGACCTTATAGAACGCTTATAGTCATAGTACCCCTTATAGAACCATTTAAGGAACCCTTTAAAGGAACCCCAACGCTCTATTCCAATTCTAATTATAAAGGCCCCTATATTACCCCAAAGCCCGAACAAGAAATAGAACCCTTATAGTAGCCCTTATTATAGAACCTTTAAGGAACCCTTTGAAGGAACCCCTCAAGGCCCCTGTTTCTTACCCCAAATCCCGAACAAGAAGCCCTGCCCTAAACCCTAAACCCTAAACCCTAAACCCTAAACCCTAAACCCTAAACCCTAAGCCCTAAACCCTTCCCGAACAAGAAGCTCTGGGCTCCAACGGATCTCAAGCTCCGGGAATCCCAGATCCTCATCGGCTTGAAACCTAGGGCTCTTCACGGGCGTTGGGTTTGGGGTTTAGGGTTTAGGGTTTAGGGTTTAGGGTTTAGGGTTTAGGGTTTAGGGTTTAGGGTTTAGGGAGCTTAGGGTTCAGGGTTTAGGGCTTGGGGCTTAGGGCTTTTGTGTTGAGGGTCGCTTTATAGGGCGTTGGGTTCAGGGTTTAAGGTTTAGGGGGTTAGGGTTCATAGGGGCTTAGGGCTTAGGGTTTAGGGCTTTTGTTGAGGGTCGTTTTACGTTGCATAGGGCTCGATGCAGTTTTATGGAGGAGAAGTT